ACACAGAAAGGAGAATTCTACTTAGTAAAGGTTATAATCCCTAAGCGCGGCCGAAGGCCGCCTACGCAGAAAGATGTTCTGCGCAAAAATACTTCCGGTCCCCTTTTCCGGCAACACAGAAAGGAGAGTTGTACTTAGTAAGGGTTATAATCCCTAAGCGCGGCCGAAGGCCGCCTACGCAGAAAGAAGTTCTTCGCAAAAATACTTCCGGTCCCCTTTTCCGGCAACACAGAAAGGAGAGTTCTACTTAGTAAGGGTTATAATCCTTAAGCGCGGCCAAAGGCCGCCTACGCAGAAAGAAGTTCTGCGCAAAAATACTTCCGGTCCCCTTTTCCGGCAACACAGAAAGGAGAGTTCTACTTAGTAAGGGTTATAATCCCTAAGCGCGGCCGAATTCCGCCTACGCAGAAAGTTCTGCGCAAAAATACTTCCGGTCCCCTTTTCCGGCAACACAGAAAGGAGAGTTCTACTTAGTAAGGGTTATAATCCCTAAGCGCGGCCGAATTCCGCGTACGCAGAAAGTTCTGCGCAAAAATACTTCCGGTCCCCTTTTCCGGCAACACAGAAAGGAGAGTTCTACTTAGCAAGGTTTATAATCCCTAACCGCGGCCGAAGGCGGCCTACGCAGAAAGAAGTTATGCGCAAAAACACTTCCGGTCCCCTTTTCCGGCAACACAGAAAAGAGAGTTCTTTTTAGTAAGGGTTATAAACCCTAAGCGCGGCCGAAGGCCGCCTACGCAGAAAGAAGTTATGCGCACAAACACTTCCGGTCCCCTTTTCCGGCAACACAGAAAAGAGGGTTCTTTTTAGTAAGGGTTATAAATCCTAAGCGCGGCCGAAGGCCGCCTACGCAGAAAGAAGTTATGCGCAAAAACACTTCCGGTCCCCTTTTCCGGCAACACAGAAAAGAGAGTTCTTTTTAGTAAGGGTTATAAACCCTAAGCGCGGCCGAAGGCCGCCTACGCAGACAGATGTTCTGCGCAAAAGTACTTCCGGTCCCCTTTTCCGGCAACACAGAAAGGAGAATTCTACTTAGTAAGGGTTATAATCCCTAAGCGCGGCCGAAGGCCACCTACGCAGAAAGTTCTGCGCAAAAAACTTCCGGTCCCCTTTTCCGCCAACACAGAAAGGAGAGTTCTACTTAGCAAGGGTTATAATCCCTAACCGCGGCCGAAGGCCCTTCGCAGAAAGAAGTTCGTTTTCATGTATGCACTATTTCGGTTTTTGGCATATGCATTATTTCGGTTTTGAACCGAAACTGTGCATGTATGGATTACTTCGTTTTTCTCATATGCGTTATTTCGGTTTTCAAACGAAAGTGTGTATGTATGCATTATTTTGTTTTTTTCATATGCGTTATTTCGGCTTTCAAACGAAAGTGTGCATGTATGCATTATTTTGGTTTTTTCATATGCGTTATTTCGGTTTTCAAACGAAAGTGTGCATGTATGCATTATTTCGGTTTTTTCATATGCGATATTTCGGTTTTCAACCGAAACTGTGCATATATGCATTATTTCGGTGTTTTTTCATATGCATTATTTCGGTTTTCAAACGAAAGTGTTCATATGCATAATTTCGGTTTTTTCTAATATGCATTATTGCGGGTTTCAACCAAAACTGTGCATATATGCATTATTTCGGTTTTTTTTTATATGCTTTATTTCGGTTTTCAACCGAAACTGTGCTTATATGCATTATTTCGGTTTTTTTTCGTATGCATTATTTCGTATGCACAGTTTCCATATGCACAATTTCAGGGTGCCCCTAGGACATTGCCTTGTAAAAGTAATCGATGAAATACACTGCAAGTAGTCGGTCGGTAATTGACGGAGTTTATCAGGTAGCTACCGATTCATCAGTCCTGTAGTCACTCCCCCGTACTGCAGGGTACATATGGGTAGAATACCCTCCAGTACTGCTGGAGTCAATCGCTACTTTTGAAACGCTACTGCACCGACTCCTAGGTAAGTGGCTACTCTATTAACCCGTGCAGAGTCGAACCAGCCGGAAGCAGAATAGCGAAAAACTACGACAGAGGGCGCAAATAAATCACGCAAGTGACTACTTTAGTAACTCCCGGTAGTGCAGTGAGAGCCGATGGTGACTACCGCCTAGGACATTGCCTTGTAAAAGTAATCGATGAAATACACTGCAAGTAGTCGGTCGGTAATTCACGGAGTTTACCAGGTAGCTACCGATTCATCAGTCCTGTAGTCGCTCCCCCGTACTGCAGGGATATTCACAGCGGACATACACACACAGCTCATCACAGGCCACTACAAGTCACCGTCATTGGAGGCCGCCGCCACTATTTATTTATTTATTTATTTATTTATTTATTCATTCATTATAGTCTAATTACAGGTACAGACCAAAGCATAATAGAAAAATAATAATATGTATATTATTACCTATACAATGGATTTATATAATAAGAAAAGCTTAAGTTTATTATTTAAGACATTCTTCGTGAGCGAGAGATCTAGGTCCAAAGAACTTGAGAGTTTGTTCAGTTCAGACAGGGTTCTTTTGATTGGTGCATTACTGCCATAAAGCGTTCTACTAAAACCAATAGCAAAAACCTCGTAATTGCGTAAAACTCTTGCGGGGACGTTAAACTTAACTCTGCTAAGAAGATTAGGGCAGTCGACAGTGCCCGAGACAATATCAAGCATAAAAGATACAGATAAGAAAATTCTTCTATTGCTCAGCGTCATTAGGTTGATCAATTGACAACGCGCTAAGTATGATGGGATCGGCTCGGAAAAATTAAGGGAACGCAAAGCATGCCGTAAAAATGTCTTCTGAACCGACTCCAGCCGAATGATATGTACTTGATGATACGGTCTCCAAATGAAGGCGGCGTACTCTAATTTAGACCGAACAAAAGCAGTGTACAAGGTTTTAAGAGTATATGGATTGGAGAAACACCTACTATTGCGACGAACAAAGGCAAGCATTGAAAACGAATTAGAAATAGTATAATTTATGTGCGTGACAAAAGTAAACTTGGAGTCGAAAAATACACCGAGATCTTTCACTTCATTAAGCGAATCTAAACGGGTATTGCAAATATGGTAAGAAGTTTGGAAGGGCTGCAGCAACTTGGAGAAGGTTACTTGATGACATTTCTTTATATTAAGAAAAAGCCTATTTTTTACACACCATAAATACAGCCTGTCCAAATCAGCCTGAAGGACAAGTGAGTCATTCATCTCTTTAATTTCGTAATAAATTTTAAGATCGTCGGCGTAAAGCAGATAGTTAACAGCTGAAAAGCATGATCCTATATCATTTATAAATAAAATGAAGAATAATGGGCCCAGTATGCTGCCTTGTGGTACACCCGAAGTGGAAATTATAGTTTTAGAATATATACCATCCAGGAGAACTGAACTTTTCCGACCACTAAGATACGACATAATCCACTTAAGGAAGCCGGAATGAAAACCTAAATGGTTGAGTTTAGCAATTAGGACAGAATGTGAGATCCTATCGAAGGCTTTAGCAAAATCAGTGTAAATTACGTCCACTTGGTGACCATTTTGGAACGCATCAAAGCAATCATTGGCGAAAACTGCTAAATTACTTATTGTAGATCTTCCCGAAACGAAACCGTGCTGATTCGGGCAAATCAAATGCTTAAGATTAAACCAAAGTTTAGCCTTTATCACGCTTTCAAAAAGTTTTGACACTGTAGATAATTTAGAAATTGGGCGGTAGTTTCTTACATCAGCTTTATTTCCACTCTTAAAAATAGGGGAAATGTAAGCACGTTTCCAATCTTCGATGAAAATGCCTGAATCCAGAGATTTATTAAAGATACGTTTTAAGGGTTCAATTAGAGAAGGGCAGTTTTTTAACAGAACTACGGAGAGACCGTCCATATCAGTCGCGGTTGAAAATTTGATGTTTTTTATGCCTTCAACAATGTCTTCCTCTGAAAGAGCTAAAGATCCAAGATTAAAAGTAGTACTTTCGGTACAATAATCGTAAGAATGTAAACTAGCATTCTCAGCATCGAGTATATCCTCGTCCGAGATGAAATTAGCCGCAAAAAAAAATCTGCAAAAAGATTGGCAGCATCCGAAATGGAATTTGCTGTATTCCCATTGTAAAAAACAGACCTGGGAATATCCGAAACCCCCTTTTTAGACTTGATATAGCGCCAGAAACATTTCGGGTTACTTTTTATATTAGCTTCAAAGTTACCTATGTAGTTATTGTAACGAGCTTTATTTAGCTTGGCGAATTGGTTTTTGTAAGTAGAATATAACTCAAAATGTTTTAGATCATTGGTTAATCTGAACTTTTTAAAAAACTTATTTCTCAAGTTCTTTAACCGCTTTAGTTCCTGAGAGAACCACGGGAGCTTATACGGTAGTTTTTTTAAAATTGGTACATTATCTTTACAGCAATCATAAATTATATTTTTGAACACATAGTAGCAAGAAGAAGCATCATCAGAGCCAAGCATATCATCCCAATTAATATCAGCGAAAATTCCTTTTAAAAATGAAAAGTCACAAAGTTTATAGTCGAAAGAGATTTTCTGAGTAACATTTGGGCACTCGAAGTATTCAAATAAGTCAATCTCGAGCATTAATGGAGAGTGATGCATGTTTGGCTGCGATAAACAAGATGGAGCATGATACAAATTAAATTTTACATTGTGGCTTATAAAAATAAGGTCTAGTAGACGATTCAGTTTATTGTAAAAGCAATTTATCTGCGATAACCCACAACCCAAAAAGTTGTCTATGAAATAAGTCTCTAAGGGGCTGGCTAGAATGGTCGGAGTAAGATAAATATTATTGTCTAAGTGTGTCCAGGAGATATTGTTTAGATTAAAATCCCCCAGTACGCACAGCTGATGTTCTCCGAAATATCATACTCTAAATGTGTACTAAGCGAGCGTAAATCGGCGCACTTTGTTCTAATTCCGGAGGCGTTATGAAAATAAATTTTTAGGCTTTTATTGGCATGTTGAAGTGAAGCTAAGTAGGTGGGTTTGCTGACTCGGTTTTTTCGAAAAAACGAAAAGGGCGCACGACCACATTTACTGGCCAAATATCAGCACTTAATATTCTTTCATAAGAGGATAGTGGTACGCCCAACTTAAAATTTATTCTTTTTAAAGTTGATAATTGAGTATTGGTCTTCACTAACATATAGCACGCTAAAGCCTTTTTACTCACAGAAGCGTGATTAGCAACATATTCAATTATATTTTCTGTAGTTACAGTTGTTGCGAACGAAGAAAGATGAAGCCATTTATATTGGACAGCTACATTTAAGTCATCATTAGCATTAGTACCGACGACTAGCACTCGTTTCATACGCTTTTTGTTTCCAGCAGTAGACCACTGTGCACCGTCTCCAGATCCAGAAGAACGCGCTGAGCTAGCAGCAGGGGTTATAACCTGATCAATATTAGCAGTACCCGTGTGTGTATTAGCTGTACTGGTACCAATGGAAGTGGATATCGCAGTAGTATCGTAACATGTATTAGCAGCTGCAGTTAACTGTGTGGTATGAATTGATCGCTCAATATCGTAGGTAGCAGCAGTAGGCATGTTAGTGAGAGCATCTCTGTAGGTAGGAGTAAGTCGCGACTTATCATAAACAGAAGCACTAGCAGACACAGTAATATTGGAAGCGTTAGTGCGCGCAGCACTATTATTATCATCGATTTGCGAAGCGTCACACACAGGAACAGGTGGAAGAGCAGCCGACAACAAAACATTGTTGACATTAGCGCAAGACGTGACAGCTTCATGATCAAAACATTTGGATATGTTATCACTGTTAAACTTCTCCACAGCAGTAATCATACAAGAGCGTAGGTCACTCAACTCGGCCTTTAGTGAAGCGATCGCATCGTCTTTTTCATGTATAACACGCTGCATAGAAATAATAACATCGTGCATGTTATCAATTTTTATCATTAGTTTGTTGTTTTCTTCGCGCTGGGCAGCAATGGAATTGAGAATTCGGCTATTGTCGGCTTGAAGAGAGACGATGACACTATGCAAAGATCCCATGGTTATTTGTTGCTGTGGGTTTTTAGCATCGTTTGCATTACTAGTAGATTGTTTTTGGGAAGTCGTCGATTTATTAGATCCCTGCGTTATTTGTTGCTGTAGGTTTTTATCACCGTTTGCATTAGTAGTAAATTGTTTTTGCGAAGTTGTCGATTTATTAGCACTTTTAAGAGAGTCAGACTTCGTCATATTAGAAGATGTAGCACTTTGCTTGCCATCTAAGATGGCTAGGGACAGGGGAGGCGAACGAATTGATTCTCGGCGCCTGTCCGCGCATACTTTACCAAAAAAACCTCTATCTGAGCTGGCAAGAAATTCTGCATCAGCGGGTTGTATACCAACACAAGTTAAATGAAAAAGTTCATTGCACTTAACGCACTGAATCGTTTGTCGAGATCGATCAACCTTTTGATCACATATGCACGGCATTTTTTATTACGGCAAATGAATGAATTTTTATTATTTTTATGTTCACGAAAGAGTCACTGTCTCATTTGTTATAGAGTTCACATTCGCACCAAATGACCCATCATAGAAAATGTGAAGACAGAGTATATCACACAAAGATCCACTTTGTTATTCAACTATAGCTGACGAGCAGAGAAAATACGTCCGCACTGCACGACCGTACAAGAAATATCACCGTAAGTCATCACCAGCTGGGCCATTAGTACCTCCCCTAGGCCAACCCATCACTACGTTCCCCGCCAGCCGCCTCCGATAAATCGCCGGAATCCAGGAGCGCTGCTCCCTCCGTCCCCACAAGCTAGGGCCGCTGCCACCGCCTTCGTTATTAGGGCCACCACCACCGTTGCCGCCCTGGGCCGAAGCCATCATCACGCCCCTCCCGTCAGCCGATTGCAGTAGTCGCCGCGATAAAGGAGCGCTGCTTCCCCCCGTCACCACAAGTTAGGCCCGCTGTCGCCGCTTCGGTATTGGG